GGCAACAGCAAGGCGTTGGTGAATTATGCAAATGTATCATATTTCACTCAAAATTTGTTCAAGTTCAGAAGATTCGTCTGAAGCCCAAATTAAATTACCCAAGCCAGTTCTCACATATCTTTTAGTACAATGTTTAACTAACTTATAGCTTGAGTTTCAGGAAAAACCAAGGTGTAGCACATGCCTAAAACTTAAATCGCGACTTTAGGTCTAAATTTAAACTTGATTGAGTTGAAAAAGAACCAAAACTAAAATAAAATTGCTTAACTTCCACATCATCGTTAAGATAAGAATTAACCGCCATACTAGGGCTAAAACCCTTTATAAATTGATTTATCGGGGAATATTTTACCACGTTTTCTTCCTGTGTGCGTGCGAGCGAAGTTTTGAGACCGCCTCATCTTGCCTCAGATTTTGGTTGTTTTCAAGTCGGCGACCACGAAAATTGATTTTGTCGATTTTCTCCAAATCCAAGCGGCCTTTTGAAAAACAAACTACACCACGTTTAGTTACTTACTAATAAGTATGAATGGACAAGATATGAGCGAAATTTAATTTTTGACCGTGGCCGGCGGTTGCTCGATTTTTACAGACATACGCTCTTTAACTCCCCAACCCCAAAATAGCACGAAATGACACGTTTTCAATACACCTTTTACATAAATCCTGGCTTCTGTTGCAAAAAAATTGCATTTATTCCTAAATGATACCATTTTGTGGATACTACGTTTGCTGATATGCTAATTTGTGAACTATTTCATTCACAAAGGATGTTGACTGAGACCAGCTTCTTCTCTGTATTGAACCATATTCTTGTTTAATGCATCAATATCTGCCTGATAATTCTTTCATGTACAACTTACATAAGGGGTTCATCTGGATACAGCAGTAAAAAGCTGTTAACAGTAACAACAAACAAATTCACCCATCCATTTGTGTCATGTTTGTTGTGGCATCCCAACTCATTTGGGTCCTTATTTCCTATTTGAGGGAACAGCATTATATGCACCCCTCTAATAAACTTGCTGCCTCATGTTATAACAGGCTTTGAAGGTGAACAGACATCGTCAGTTAGATTTATGCTGTGATGGCCATTCTCTGTTTTGAATGGATCACTACTGTCATCAAATATATAAATTATAATAAGAAATGGATTGTGGAACACAGGAGCTGTCAAGAGTCGCTTCAAAATAGTAGCTTAGGAAAAATCTCTGTATCTTTTAGAGGTGCAGAAAAATAAAAGTAGCTTTCGTTTTTTCATGGTGCATTTGTTTTGTCTGCAAGTGAGCTGATGAAATGCTCAAGTGATTATGTAGTACATAATCACTTGTAATTGTCGCTGTCTCAGACTCAATCCATTCTTCATTTCCTGTAGAATATCTTTTATTATATTTTTCCGCGAAAACCTTCGAACTGTAAAAAAATACCCATAGATTTCATGTTTTTGTGGCATATAAAAGCGTGTCTCCGCGATCAGTTTAACATGAGACAACGTGCTAATAAATAAACCCCGCGTAGTAATTGTTTTTTTCGCTTTCCTTAAGGAGTTGAACATTACTCCGATGCATTTCTTCCTTGATAAGAAAAACCATGAGTTTGGAAATCAAACCATAGAAATGCATTGCTTTGCCAATGAAAATCAGACTTATGAAGGAACAGTGATTTTTGGCGTTGAGTCTTTGAAAGGTCAAGAAAACCTACCGCTGAAAAATCTACAACTGAAAACGCTCGTAGAAAACGTCAGATTTTTGTCATGGAGAGCATTTTTTTGTAGGAAAGTGTGGTATTCAAAGCACCAACGAAATGGCCTTTGAAAGGACTGAAACTTCACGCGAGTTTTCGATTTCCCGCCATCAGATTTGATGCGCCCACGCTATTGTCGTTCAGCGGATGCACGCATGCGTGCGCAAAATGCCCTCCTGTTCGCACACGGCTCGTGGATTCTCTGTTCTGTATCACGTGTTCGCTCGAAAACAATGCATTCTCTGTTCTGCATTACGTCATTAATGTTGCCTTACATTGCTATATGTTACATCGATTCGAGATCTTTTCTGCCCCTGGAAGTATCGCGCACGGCTCTACTAGGCTGCCGCCTCGCGAGGCTGCTCGTTGGCAAAAATAGCATTTCATCTCACGCTATAAGATGTTTAAGTCAGCTCAGTCTTTGTAATCCAGCTGCCCCCTTGAAATTCGGCCCTTTATTTCATATTCAGGTGTTTCGGTGCCCTAAGCGTCCTTGTGTTGTTTTGTTGCCATTATGTTATTGGCATGAATACTTGGACATGATGTTTTTTTTAAAAGATAAACTTGTTAATATATCCCAAGAAGTTCTACCCACTCCTATAGAACCGTCGACGTAAATGTAATACCGTTACATACCAGCGCTCTTTCTTTATTCGTGCCCCAAGAATTTGAACTCACTTCCCCCACAGTTAACATCAAACAAGTTAAGCTTAGCCCAGTTCAAGAGACTTCTTAGGGATTTCCGCTCTACGGACTTGCCATAATGTAGAGGACTCCAGAACATGGAAAACAATTTGCCTAAAATGTAACTACGCTCGCACTCCAACTAGCCGCGTCGCCTGCTGCTTGCAACCTTTTCCATCTAGCCTTCCTAATGTTGCTTTTATTTTCGGGCCCACAGTACCTGGTTTATCTGTTGTGGTGACTCTGCCATGTATATGTATGTTATTTTCATGTATTATTATTATTTTTTGGCGAAGCTTAATAAATAAATAAATAAATAAATAAATTTCATTCATTTGATGCGACCAATTAATAGCGGAGCTCCTCGCGCGCGCGTAATCTAGCCCTGTGATAAATTTTGGTAATCACGTGACGGTACGTCCGACCGACCGACCGACCGCCCGACCGCACCACAGGCATACCAATGTAAAATAACTCAATCACCAGGTATCGTAAACGGCGGGAATCACATTGTCACCCGCGTCTTGTGAAGCAGAGCCAACTAAAGAGTCAATAAAGACGAAAACGGAAAGCAGAAACTGTTTCTATATCCGTATTGTCTAAGAAAAAGATCGACAGAGAGCTACAGCGAGGAGATAAGAAACAAAGGAGACATTTTTTGTTGGAAGAACAACATGAAAAGTTTGTAGCGGGGGTGAGAAAATGAGAAATGCTAGCGGCCACCAAGGTGAAAATTTGCGACAGTAAAAAAAAGTGAACAAGACGTACGACATTTACTCCAAAAAATCTGTAACTAGGAAGTTTCTGGAAGTTTCCGTTAAAGTCGTGCAAAACAACGGCAAAGAAATGTACAAAAAAGTGCTGCATGTGCAAAGTTGCTAATTAGACCTATTGTTGTTTTTTCTCGATCCTCGTAGCCTTTGCCGCTTAGCATTACACGATTTTATATTTTGTTCAAGTAAACTATAAATATTATCGACAGCTTCTGTTTTAGCCCTGGCTAAATCTATAAATCACTTTTCGTATTTAGTCAGGTCGAATTTCACATATTTCTCCACGCCGTAAATATAGTGCAGATTATAACCGACATGTTACAATAACGATGATGATAATGATGATGTTGTTGATGACGCTACCACTACCTACTAATAATGATTTTAAATTTACTAATTCACCAGTGGTTGCTCTTCAGTGGGGCCCTGCATATACTAAGAAAATTAAATACTATCTACAATCAATTAAAAGCGAAAACTAGGTTGAAAATAGCAATTCTGAGAACAATCAATAGAACTATTTACAGTTCATTTTAAAGCTTGGATTCAAAAAGAATATTTAACCCTGATCGATCCACAGAAATCCCAAGCTCGGTGTATAAATTACCGCGAGTTTCGATACTCTTTTGCATTTTACGAACGATTTAAAGACTTTGTATGAAAAATTCAATATAGATGTTAAAACGTAGAAATATAGGCATGAATATAGAAATAAATTGTACTTAATACGCAAACTTGGGTCTGGTGTTGCTTTTTCTGCGTAACCTAGGCCCAATTCATGACCATTTCATACGGTTTTGCCGCTCGTTGTCTGGTCGAAGGAAGCAAAAAATTCCCAACCCGAATAGGATGCACGAATACGTGCTAGAAAAAAGAATCGCTGGCAGCGTCGCCTCAGCAATTCTGATATATATGTGTACCTGGTAGTAGTTCTCATCACTGTACTTGAGTCGAACAATACGAGAAGTACAGGGAAGTTCAGAAGTTGGCATATGAGATCCACCAAGAAGTTCATTCACGAAAGAACTCTTCCCGCTGTTGGTTTGACCTACAACTAACAGAGTAGATTTCTTGGCGGAATACGACAGTAAACGATGTCTTTCTGCTTCAGTGATCACGTCTGACTTTACGCTCTCGGGTAGATACTGTGCCATGTCGTCAATGAAATGTTGTGTGTCCTGTGAGCACTGCTCAAACAAGGTTATCAGGGAGGTCACGTCCTTGAACTGGTCCTCAAACGATGACGACATTGTCCTGGCTGGAAACTACAATAAAAAAAACTTGTATGTCACCCTAATTAGTAACTATGGTTTCCTATCAAAAAGGTTTTGAACGATTGACTTTGCGTGATGGAGAACTAATCAGAAAGCAGCAATAGTGACGTCATCAATACCAAATAGTGATTTCATTACCAGAAGTGTCGTGCAGGCACCCAAAAATTCAGTGGACAAACTGTTTTATTCCTCCCTATCACGAGGATATGAAGTGATGTCGCGTAAGGAAATGACCTCCCCATGCGCTGAAGTGGAATAAAATCGGTACCCCGCCAAGCAAGCGTAGCGCGCGGAGCTAAACAGCAGTACTCAAGATTGAAGAGTAAACAAGTCTCAACTGAAGCCCAATTTACATATGGGCACTTAATCCTTCTGACACCTTCTTTCTTATTTTCCCTCTTTTCAGATTTTAAATTTTTGTCCAGTTTTTTCTTGACCACTTTTTTACCATTGAAATTTGAAACAAATTAAAAATATTGAAAAGTAGGTTGAGTTTGATCGTCCGGGTGAACGTAGTCCTGATTAGGGCTGTTGTTTTTGACAGTGGCTGACGTTTCGACAACCTGTGCGGTAGTCATCTTCAGAGTCAAAGTGAGTTGTATCACGTCAGTTGATGGTATTATTCTCTGGTTATTGATCTGATTGGTCAAATACGTCGCGATGTTATTGGTCGTCTGCCAGTTAAGCCGTGATGTTATTGGCTATGAAGACTCGTAATCAGTAATTGGTGCGTTTCGACCCGTCTATTGTTACAGTTAAACAGTCATCTATTGTTAGTCAAATTGTCAGTTCTCCAGTCGTTCTCTCGTAGTTAGTTTTGCTTGATCTCGTCAATAAGTCGTTTGTACGGCGCTGGTAACTGTTGGCTACGATTCAGTGGCGTTTGTTCTTGCAACTGCCACGCTGAACCCAAAGTGGGTCAGGACGTCGTCGTTTTGTGACAATCGTTTCTTAAACCTCCCCATGCGAACCCCACGCGCAACGAAGAACCCCACCCCCAATAACTGTGCCTAGACCCAAGCTAAACGATTGTAGCGCAGGTAACTGGAAACAACGTCAAAGGGCCACTTATTTATACGGGGTTTAGCCAGTGTTCAAAAAAACCGCGCACTAAGCCATTTTCAGTTTGTCGAATGTTTTTATGTAAAAACCATTTATCGGGAGCAGTTTTATGACAGAGATTTAAAAAGTGAGAGAAGAATAAATATACATAAGACGTAGCGAAGGACAACGTCCAGTTCCTCGGTAGCACACTATGATTGTGAGTCTTGTGGTCAGGACACTGCATCGTGATCGCAGTGAGGAATTAGCATTAATTCTGAATTCTTAGCATTTTTTTTTTCATGTGAAAAGAAAGAAGTCTTACTATTTTCCTCAATCTCCTTGGTAACTGTATGTCCGCTTTTCGCCTGTTAAGGTGTTCGTGAAAATCGTCGATTTCGTCTTTGCACACAGCGGTGAATGTGTCGTCAACGTAGCGTAACCAAAGAGGTATAGTTCGCGTATAAGTCACAGCTAGGGCTTGTTTCTTTGACAGCAAATTCACCGCTGTACGCAGAGACGAAATCGACGATTTTCACGAACACTTTAACAGACAGAACGCGGACATACCGCACACCAAGGAGATCGAGGAAAATAGTAAAATACTTTTTCTACACTGCTTGGTCACTCGCGACAACAGACTTCGAACGACAATTTACAGAAAACCAACACATACCGACCGATTACTAGGTCAGTCATCGTACCACCCGACCACTCACAAGGCAACAACTATACGGACTTTGACGAGACGAGCGCAACTAGTTGGCGACTCGCCTGAAAGCCTACAAGACGAGACTGACAACCTAAACAACGTTTTTAGTAAAACAACTACAAGACGGATTTTGTTAGACGGAACACTTACAGTAACACTGATTCCAATGCTCAGACCAACGTCAACTCAGGCCCTGTTACGACAGGGACTATACCGTACGTCAGAGGCACCTCTGAAATTATCGCACGTATACTACAACCATACAATATAGGTGTTGCACACAAATTTACGACGACTACTTACCAACGTCAAGGACAAAGACAAACGAAAGGACAGACAGAGAGCAGTCATACAAGATCAAATGCTGCGACTGACAGGCTTCTTACATTGGTGAAACCGGCAGAAACCTTAACACGCGACTGACCGAACACAAACGCGCAACGAGAATAGTGACGTCAACAATCACATTGCTGAGCACAATTTACAGAAGAAACATCAAAACGACCGGGACTCTGCGACATATATTGTGTATTCTACAGACTACTATCAACGACTCACTTTAGAAAGCTGGTTTACTAACTTAGAACAAACGCCACTGAATCGTAGTCAACAGTTAACGGTACCGTACAAACAACTTATTGACAGAATCAAGCAAAACTAATTACGAGAGAGCGACTGGAGAACTGACAAATTGACTAACAATAATTAACGACTGTTTAACTGTGGTGATAGACGAAACGAAACGCACCAATAACATTACGACTCTTCATAGCCAATAACACCACGGCTTAACTGACAGACGATACATATATCGCGACTTAATTGACCAACAACAACCAGAGTTTAATACCATGAACTGACGTGATCCAAATCACAAAGACTCTGAAAATGAATACCGCACAGGTTGTCAAAACGTCAATCACTGTCAACAACAACAGTCCTTCTCCTGGACGATCATACTCAACCTACTTTTGAAATGACTCCTCGGTTCAAACCTTTCACAGTTTCAATCGCAGTTTTTTTTTACAACAAGTTGCTGTAGAAAAATTAGACCGATGATGAAGATTTTATTCCCTGTAGGTAGGATATAGTAGGCGTGTATCTCGACTGTCTAGCGGGTAGCCGGGGATCGATACACACGCCAGAAAGAAACGGTTTTCCTTTTTAATTGAATTAGATTTAGGTTTGCAAAAAACAATTGCTGTGCAGTGTAGTGGCACAATTAGTAACGATGCTTTCCAACAGGTGAGTTGCCATTCCCATTACTCCCGAGAGCAAGGGAAAAACCACAAAATATTTTTCTCCTCGAAACCAAGGATAGAATCAGGAATATGTGGGGAATTATATGGTCAGGATCTGTAATCCTGGCCAAAAGGTTTTGGGACACCTCCCGTTTTTCACGTGTTTTTCTATGGAATTTGAAACTAACCTGCATTAGTATATACACACTCAGTGATCTTGGTAATTCAAGCAATCTGATTGGTTAGCTATCTCGGACTATGACGTTATATTCACCGCGCTAGGTGGTGAATATAAAGCAGAACCAAAGCGCTGTCGTGAACTGGGTGTTTTACCAAAGTTTCATAGTAAAGCCTCTTTGAAAATACACGAATATCCAAGTGATGATGACTTTGAAGGCAAGAAAAGACTTCATGGTGTTTAAACAGCGTGATTTAGTGTGAACTGGTTTACTGTAGCTGACTTTTTGTACGCTCGAAGCTATGTTTACCACTACAGAGGAAAATGAGGTCGCTTTGTCACTGTTTTGTGATTTCGGGATTTTCTCGCAAGACCAATTTTGCCTATAAATAGAAGTTAATATGGAGAAAAGAGGAAGGCAAATATTTTCGAAAACTGTACGTGCCACTAAGTCAACAAGGCAAAGAACTTTGGAGATAAACAACGCTCACCTTGATCGTAGCTGCTGTTGACAACATTTGCAAGAAGCGACAAAGAAAACTTTCTCATTCACGGTGAGTTGACTGAAACAAATAGAGCTCTACTTTTCTTCTCGGAATTGGGTAGTAATGTAAATTTTCGGCGTTTTCTTTTAAACCGTTGATGCTTAAGCTTGCAAAACTCGATACAAAAAGATTAAAACTGTCATTTACCATGTTTGAAGATACTGTAAAGATCTAACTTTTGCACATCCACTGTTTACGGCTTCGTGTTCACGCATGAATTAACCCGTCAATCAAACTAATCGTTTTCTAATGGTTTCCTTTCTGATTCTGTTGAGATCACTTCATGTGAATATACTAAAACAATTATTCACCTTAGGCTCAGTTAATATTGTTGAATAATCCCCGAGACGAAAGATTATTCAACAGTATTAACTTCCCCTTCGGCGAATAATTGTTAAATACACGCTTATAATATTATTATATATATATTATATTATATATTATATATATAATAATTGTTAAATACACGGCCTTAACAAGACCCCCCCCCGCCCCATTAAAGTTGTAAACGTGTGCAAGATATGTATAAAAGGTGTTTGATTTATAACATCCAACTCTTTCCAGAGAACGTGAACTGCATTTCCCTCACCTGAAACACAAAGTGTCCCACACGATTTGACCAGGATTGTAGATAAAAGGTTGTTATATTGTGAACAAGAACGCAGCGTTGAGTCACGCTTGTAGCGTTGAGTCTCGCTTGCTCAAAGATTAGATAAGAAATGAGAAGGCGATTAGACCTCTAGCGGTCGTCCTTCTTTCCTCAGAGCCACGAGCGGCGAGCGAAAAAGTGAAATTATGCTTTCGACCTACTGTGACTAAAAAATAATAATAATAATAATACGACTGCTCGCGGTTTAGGAGGCAATTAATGCAGACGATTAGTTCTACAAGAAACAGGATTTCCTCGCTACATTATCGACGGTCGAGTAGGACAATTTGGTTCTGAATTGATAAATCAACTAAAATCAAGGAAACATGATATTTCAATCATCGCCTAAAAAAACCGTATGATCACCACACGATTCATTTGCATACAATGAAAGTTTACAAAACCCGACCATTTGGCCTTACCATCGAAGTTTTGCTCATAAGGCTTGTTCTTTTTTTCAATCACTGAAGTGATCACTTGTTCCAAAGTATTCAATGTTTTCAAGCGATAGAAT